CCACTGCTAGTTATTGCTGCCTTCCTTCTAATGTCTTCAGTGCCACTGTTTCCTCCCCTCCTGCCATTCTCCTTAGATATGAATTTGACATGTTATGTACTTGACTTGCCTTTGAGATATGCTAATGAAAAAGAGCATGTAGTAAATGTTTTGATAATAGAAACTACTTTAAATTAAAAAAAGTTACTGAAGCTTGATTTTTGAAACAGAAGATGAAAGAATAAGTAAAAAGAAAAATCAGGTGAGAAAAAAACCACACAAACAGAACACAGACTGGATTTTTCTTTCTTAACCAACTTAAAATGCATCAGTAAGAGGGGAAAAAAAACAGAAAAACACAAACAAAAAGCAAACAAAGAAAAACCCAACAAACCCCAAAATCAGAAACAGCAAATGAAAGAACAGGTGAAATGAAATAAGAGCAGCTCAAGAAAGAAAGAAAAGAAATGAGTGGTAACTTCAACAGATAAAGAAGAGCTGGAGATTGCAATCTGGAGAAAGCAGAAGAGGAATGAAAATATAGGAAGAACAGGAAGAAAGAAAAGAGCAACAGAAGTTCAGTAAAAACAGCCCTTTTTTAAAGTGAACACTGAAAGAGACCCCAGAGTTATCCCTGCTCTGTAAGCTCAATTTACATTGCATTTCCCCTTACCACCCTTTTTAACCTCCCGTAAGTTTCCCTGCTCCAACTCTCTAAATGAATTCCTGCCTAGAGCCACTATGTTTCCAGGAGCTGAAATTATTCTTATGCTGGCTGTAAACCCAATGCTATTTCAAGGCTGCCTGTATTCTGAGCGCACACATATGCCCATAACTTCTTTATGGCTGTTGAAATACAAAGGCACGCACCTCGGGGGGAGAGGGGGGGGAATTAAAAGAAGGAAAGAAAAAGAGTAGGGAATATCGGTGAAATCTAAACTCACATATACCCATTTTCCTAAAGTTCCCAAAGAGCACCTTAAATTACCATCACAACAAGCACTGCTGCTGAGTAACATGGTGTTTACCAGCTCCCAAAGCATTAAGCGTTACAGATTCATACAACCATATGGTGAAGCAGACTGAGGATACAGTTTGGGTTAAAACAGCTGAGGTTAAAACAGCTAGCAAATGCACTAAAGAAAACCCCAAGCCTCTCCAATAGTAAAAATTATCCATTGTTAGTTTTAAGCCAGCCTGGTCCCCTACGTGACAATGTAAGCACCAGCGACAGCACAGCAGAAAGGGCTGGACAACAAGAACAGGAGAGCAGGACAGGTCAATATTTTAGGAGGGGAGAAGGGAAAAATGTTAGCTTACGCCTGCTTTGAAAGTGTTTGTGGAACTATAGCATCTGACCATTTAGGATTTGGCAATCTACTCTGAACTTTTATACCACTGAATAAATCTTTAAAAGACAATTAATAGCATTCCTAAGGAACAGTAACCATAACAGAGTGAAAAAGTATGTTGAGAGCAAAAGGGGAATGGATAGAAGAGTTATGTGTCTCAGTTTGATTTTTAATTCATTGGACTACAGAAGATCTGAAAGCTCCAGAACAGGAGGTTTTGGTATGCCCTGAACAATTCAGCACCCATGCAAAGCAGAGCAGATCATGCCAGTGCTGATTGTTTCATTACTGCTGGACAGGAATCAGTCATTACCGAAGTGCTTTAAATTGTTTCACTTCCCCCTCTGAAGCCTTAATGTTATGGGATCTCTTTGTCAACGTGAACAAATGGCTTGCTTAAAGATGCTACTGGAAGATTTATATCTGTTTGTGTGTTTTCTAAACATGTATTTCAAAATACTTTAACCCTCATCACTCCTCATCACTCGAGCAAGACTGCAGCATCTGGTGCTCATTAAAGCCAGGAAATTCCTGTTTTGGTCTTTATGAAACTGTTGAGAGTTGATAATTGATTTTTGAGTTCTAGCCTTTGCAAAGAGCTATTTTAGCAGTTTCATAGTATAAAAGAAATTTTGCTTAACAAATTGTTTAAATTCTGCATAACGCTAAAACCAGGCATTAGCATTTTGCAGTTCAAAGTTTTCTGGAAATATTTATCAAGTTTGAGTTAATGAATCACCATTATGCAAAATACTATATATTGAGTGTCAATCATCAATTTAAAAGCTGTAATCAGCATAACACAGAAAAGAGACAATTTAGCAACTTGCAGGTCATCTACTCTTAGCACTTCAGCTTCATCACAGTAATTTTTTCCACAAGATCAGAAAAAGATTCTGGGTCTTGTACAGAACTTAATCTTAAAACCTTGCTGAACCTTATTATGCACACTTTGTCTGCAAATTGCAATACCTATGTGTTGTAATTAGAAAGAAAATATGTACTCTGTCCTTATTAATTTATTAACAATCTTGAATTAAAAACTGACAACAGCAGTGAGAACACTACATTAAGCCCTAAATGTTTCATGATAGACTGAACAACATGACAGAAATAACACAGCTAGAGATGTCTTCCTAATGATTGTTTTTCCCCTATTTTGGGAGGAAAGCTGTGAATGACCAAAGGCCACAACATACAACCACAGAATGCGATGCTACTGAAAACTGCAGGCAAATTATACTGGAAAATTATGTGAAAAATTTGGTACACTTGATTATGATAGGGTACAGTGTATGGCTGGGGTACAAGACTGTCCACGCATAACTGCTTCTCCCTCACTGAATGGCTGCTTATCAGGCACTTGGTTCCCAGCCAAGGAGACGGGGAAAGATAGCTTGTTCTGAGTTCAAGTCCCCGGAGAGCCGGGCAGTTATTTGTTGCAGACTCTCCTCTCAATCACAAAGTGTCATTAAGTGAAGCTAGAGTATGTTAAACACTTAGAATATTTTCCCTATATAAACAGCTGCTGTAGCTGCAAATGGAAAGTTACAGAATTGCAAACAATTGATACCAAGTGTAAACAGAATATATAAACTACACTTTTATTTCACAAGAAATAGGAACCTCTAGGTTAAGGGGTTCTTTGTACACATATTATAATTTACTATCTTAGGTGTATATATACACACAACTTCCCAGAGCAACGCTAGCAAGAGAGTACAAGTCTTAACTGTAGAGCCATCCTGCAGTCCACAGGCATTTGAAACATTTTTTTAATAGTATAGCATATTGCTAAAATGCCGAGTTTGCAGCCCATCACTATCTAAAGTTTCTTTTGGCATAAAGACTTTCCAGAATAATCATTCCCACTGCAGATGCACTCAGTATGCCCAGCTGTATTACGCGTTCTCTCCCATCAATTTTTAGTTTTATTATCAGCTTGTAACTTTTAGCTGTTTTATTTCCCCTGGTATTCACATTCATTCCATATACTGATAGAGCTTCACCACAAATCTAACATTATCTTTTCTTTGAGATCACTAATGAAGAGGTTAAATTCATCTACATATAAAGCTGCACCTCTAAGTACCAATCCAGAATCCCAGCCAGCCACCTCTTACCCCTCTTTTCATGGCCTTTCATCCATGCTTTTCATCTTCAGAACTAGGCTCATTTAACTGGCAAGAAAACAAGTTCAAGTACTGCTTTATTTCTTCTTTTCTCCCCTCAAAAGAAAAACAAACTCTCCTGCCTCAGTTTCCTGAGGAGCTTTAGCTGTGTATCAATTCATAGCACCTCAGGCAGAAAGTATGCAGAAGAACACAGGTAGAGCACAAGTTTGCCCAGAGACCTCGTCACTCTCGCATTACTATAAACATTAGTTCCACATAAGAATATATACATACACGACACCTGCGTTTTTTCCAGTCTGAATTCCTTTCCCATTTTTCCCCTCTGAAGTGAGATTCTTTTTCCATGCAAGTGGGCAAAAAAAAATTAAATCAATTTGTACTTCAATACCATGTGGGAAAGCACCTCAGAGACTGAATCTCACTTTACACCATAAAAGTGTTACTAATCATGCACCTTTATAAAGAGATTATTTTTCTTCCCATGAGACCTTCTTCATTTACAAAGGTTAGCCCACATCTCCACCTATACATCCTAAATATAACGCAGAGAAATTATTTGAACTCCACTTTCTTGGTTTTTAATATATATCAGCCTGAACAGAAATACATGCAATGTTAAAAATCACTCCCAATTTCATTTTTCCTGCAGAAGAGGAATTAAGTGTTACTTTCATTCAGTCACAGCTATGATTCTTTAAAAACAGAACTAGAAGGCTTATTTCAAAAAGAGATGTTCCAGATAGTATACTTGGTTCATATTGATAGGCTGTACTTCCAAAAGAAGCGTAATTTAAAACACATAATACTGGCCATTCCTAAGAGACAGCTCTACTTAGGTTTCTTAAAGAAACCAAAAAAGCATGCAGACTCCCTCTGTCAGGGGCACAATGAGTATATATTGTTCTAACTGGGCTTGACCAACACACATATTTGTAGTCTATAAAAACAAACAAAAAACTCCACAGAACATCCACTAAACTACAATGTTACCAGAAAGACTAACTGGCTTTGGCTGCTGTAAAATAAACAAACTGTTCAGATTAGATGTATAATTATACAGAAGAAAGCACACATGCTAAAGACAGTAATGAGTATATATTGTTCTAACTGGGCTTGACCAACACACATATTTGTAGTCTATAAAAACAAACAAAAAACTCCACAGAACATCCACTAAACTACAATGTTACCAGAAAGACTAACTGGCTTTGGCTGCTGTAAAATAAACAAACTGTTCAGATTAGATGTATAATTATACAGAAGAAAGCACACATGCTAAAGACAGTAAGTACAATAGTATTTATAATAAAGTATTTGCAGAAGTGCAAGCTACTTAAAAAAGGTTTGTATGTCAAATACCTATATCAAGCTGAGACAACTTCAACAAGAAATTCTTACAAAAACAGTAGACTGAAATGAAAATATTTCAGGTGTCCAGTATTGATGTGGTGACTCTAAAGACAGAATTGTTTATTTTGTGGCTTTACTACTCTAACAACTAATTCCACCCCATAAAAAGTACAAAACAAAATACCTTTTTTTGATTTTGCTCCAATCTTCAACTTCGATGGCCAAGCAATCTGTGTATTTGTTTCTTCCATAATCTGTTAAAAAGAAAGCATTTATGAAAAAATAAGTTTTTATTGTTCTCCTACAAAGTCAAAAGTTCATTTTTGGAAAAGATTACGTTTACCATTTTTAAATCTGTTGACTATGATTACTATTAAATAGCACAAGTCATTAACTATTTTTCTGGTTTTCTTGAGAAGCACTTTTGTCTGGTGATAGGTGGAGCTGAGTTCTGATAATTCAAAAGAAAACCAAAGAGAAAACTAAGATGCTTAACATTTTCCATGAAGTTCAAATGACCACGACTAGCTACAGCATGCTCTAGGTCCATCTCAGAGGGAATTTCAAAGCTTTACGATTCAATAAAAATATTTATTTAGTTATCTTAAAATGGCTTCTAAGTAAAGCCTATCAAATTTAAATCAAGTCCTTTTGAGTCTCCATAAGTCAAGATACATCTGTTTGCCTTCACAGGTTGTGGGGGTTTTTTGCCTCACCTTTACCTGAAAGCAACTTTTCATTGTAAGCCTACCCAGACTTCAAGACACACACTCACACTTATACTTTGAAATCCATGTAGTCATTTGGCTCCATGTACTCTCGTTCTGTTGCCGCCTTTGTTTTAGTGAGTAAGTCCACTAGCCATAGGCCTATTATACTGAAATTTAATACTGGCACAGAGTTACAGTGCATCACTAACACATTTAGAAGTAATACAGGAGAAGGAACTGAATGACACCAAAGACTTCATATATATGAATTGAAATTCAGTTCTAGGAAATGCTGGGCCTGTCTACTGAGACTAAAGAACTTCTCTTTTATATTGAGATCTCATCAATAAGTATGATGAGGTCATACCTCTCATCACACTTGAGAGATGAGAATATCTGATCATCATGAGTAAGAAGAGAGTATCTCATCATTATGAGGACCTGAAGAAACGAGAAAGATCTGCCCATATTAGTCCATGACAAGATGGTTGTAGGATGCCAAGAAAATGCTTCTAGATGGTTGTAGGATGCCAAGGAAATGCATCTATTAAATATCATGCTAGGCTGCATCAGACAAGGCATTTTAATAGAGATGTTGATTATAGAAGGCCCAGATGAATTTTCACCTGGAACAAGTTGTCCGGTTCTGCTCACACATGGACAAGATTTTGTACAGCAACAAGCAAAAGGGTCCTCACTCCTTTGAAAATTTCAGTAGCTTATTGAAAATTTCAGTAGCTTATTCTAAAAGAGATTAAAAGCAATCAGTTTGCTCAGCTTGAATAATGTTAATTAGAAGGGGTCCTAGAATCACAGAACAAGTTTGGAAGAAAGGGACCTCTGGAAGTCATTTAAGTCCAACCTCACGCTCACAGCAGGGCCAACTGCAAAGTTAGGTCAGGTTCCTGTCAGGGCCTTGCCCATGAAGCTCTCATTACCTCCAAGCAAGGAGATTCCACAGCCTCTCTGCACACTTATTCCAGTGTGTGGTCACTTTTACTGAGAAATTATTTTCTCATATCTGGTTGATTTTTCCTTTGCTCAACCTTTGGCCGTTGTTACCCACTCACTTTTAGGAGGAGCCTGACTCAGTATACCTTCTAACCACCCATAGGGTAGCTGAAAACTGCTATTAGATCCCTCTTTTACCTCTCCTCCTCCATGCCAAACAAATCCTGCTCTCAGCTTCTCTTTGTACATCAACTGCTCCAGGCCCTTGATCAACCTGGTGATCATCCGCTGGAGTCACTCCCACTTGTCAGGATCTTTCTGGGGCTGAGGGGGACATAACTGGACAAAGTACTCCATATGCAGCCTCACAGTAACTGAGCAGACAGGAATAATCACTTCCCTTGATCTGCTGGGTCATACTATTTTAGTTAGTGAGTCTATGTAAAAATACTTTTGCCAAAAGAGGGGTAATAAGTATTACGGAGATTATTTAATACATATAATAGTAACAAGTAAACAAGTGCTCACTGTAAACTTAGGCTGTAAACTAGAAAAAAAACCTAAATCAGAAGAACTGAAAGAATACTTGATTGCCTAAGTAGGAAAGACGTAGGAAAGGGAAAGGAGAGAACTTTTCAGATGGCAACTCTCAGGGTCTGGTTCCTCCTGTATAACGAATATTTGTTCAATTTCCACAGAAGGACTAAAAAAAAAAGTCCTCTTTTGCTTGCTGATACAAATGAGAATTACAATACACAAAAATCGGACACTATCCAAAAAAGTCAACTCACCAAAATTGGTGGGGGGGAATAAAGCAAAGCAGTACATTTTAGTACTTCTAGTCATCTGCAACAAGCGTAAGCAATAATAAAAAAAATTAAAATTCGAAAATAATTAACAAAGCAACTTCCAAGAAGAGAATGAATGTATTAAGAAAACAGTTATAATACCAATAAATTTTCCGTAATAGTATAATTCAGAACTAAGGCAGACTTCTCAAACAATTCTTAATTCTTATCTTCTACATCCAAATCCCTAGGACACCACAACTTCCAGATTAGTACACCATGTGGAAAAACTGAAAGTGTCAGCCAGACTTCATTATACTGTATTTTTGGTTTCAGCAACTATTGGGTAATAAGTTACAGCTGAAATAAGACATTTCCAGGAGGGTGAAATTCTATCAGCAACATACACATACTTTTCACAATTTTCCAATCCAGATGTGAAAAAAGCTATTTCAAAGAATTCACTTGTGCCTGGTAGAGGGCTTTGGGCAAGGATTATTCTTAATTGTGCAACAGGTGATGAAATACACAGAAGATAGGAAGGCATTAGCTAAAAGGAAAATGGAGATGCTAAAACAAAGAACAGTGCAGGACCGATCCAACATAAAAGGAACCACAAGAGAGGGGAAAGAAGAGGAGTGAATGAATGTCATTCAAGACAAGTGTTACATCCCATCAGTCCTTTACCCTGTCAATAAATTTTGGAGACTTTTCTCTTAAAGAAATTAAATCCTCCCCATTTCTCATGCTAAACCAAAACAAAATGAAAGCCTACAACTTCAGATGCACACATTCTGGGGACATACGAGAAAGACGCATATGAGATCTTCAAAGGAAAAGAAGCCTGACTGCCAGCCACTGAGATTTGGCCACCTAATATCCTTAAGCTCTTTGGAGAATGCAATGCTAGAAATTACCACATTAGACCAAAAAGACGAGTCAGTTTGGTCGCTACAAAGACAAAGTTTATCTCCTGTCTTAGGCAGTTAGGCAAAAAAAAAGTCTGGATGCATTTAAATTAAGTGTATTTATTGAAGTATAAAAATGCTCAGAGTATGTGCTGGCTTTCAACTCCAAGCAGTAAACTTTATCATAAATTCCAAGCTGATTGCTATAATCATCTTTTCCACAATTTTGAAAACCCCATATTATATAGGAAAAAAATAAAATAGCTTTCACTGCAGCACTTTTTTTTCCACCAGTGAAAATAATTTACGTTGCCTGGAAAACAATTTGAGAATTTTAACTGCCTAAAAAGGTTTGCAATGGGAAGTAACTTCTGGTTTATTTTTGAGAAATCAGGGCTTTCATAGGAACCCTTAAGAAGAGTTTAAACTATATTGCTTGCTTTTTTAACTATTTTATGTATTGTATTTATTGTAACAGCAGGAGTGTCACAAAGCTCTAGAAAACAAGAAACGGAGTTTTTACTATAGCTGTTAAACTTGAAGGTAAACATGATGCTGAAAACTCTGTGACAGTAAAATTCTGCATAGCGTAGATCACTGCTGCATCAACTCTTAGTTCTGTTTTACCATTCTAACCCAAGCTGTTTTAAGTGCCAGGATTTTATTTTTTTTCCTGAAACAAATTTGGAATAATTTCATAAAACCCTCAACTGCATGTTGCAATGGAATACTTTTATTAGTGAAAACTCAGTGTTATGCCACATACCCTGAAAACAGCAGTACTGCTCTCAAATGAACAAAACAGAAAACAGAACTCACTTTACAAGTGAGGTAGATATATACATGTATTTTAATTGTATAAATACTTTAGTTACAAAACATTTTGAGGGAATTCAGCCTAGGGATGGGCGAATCAGAGTTCACGATCACCTAGACTGCAGAACAGCACCTCTACTTAGGCTTCCCTTCTTTTCACGTAAAATAAGTGATAGGGTTTATACTAATCAGTACTCTCCTCACCTTGAAGGATCAACTGACCGAAAGAAGGAGCAGGCCCATTTGGCAGCAAGATTTAATCACACAGTAAATAATCTCATGCTGCTGTTTCTCAAAATGCTGGAAACCCTAAGAAATAATTTATCTGCATCTTCCCTTCCTCTCCTTTCCCCAAGAGAAACTGTGGTGTTTACATAGCCAAACTATGTAAGCTATTCTCAGTGGAGAACATACAGAAGATGACACAAGATACTGGAAGATACCAACAAAACAAATAAGACTGTGCCCTGACCCTGAAAAAACTGGCTCTAGTTGCAAATCATTGGGCCTTCATGGAAAAAAACCCTCTAGCTGTAAGGCAGCTGGAGGAAAAGCTTTTGGCTTCCTTGTATTCCAGTTTGAAAAATGTATAGTTTAAGTACTTCAGGGAGTTTTTACATTAAGACAGTAAGAAGTTATTTTTCCTTACATTGTAATTTTTGTTTAGCTGATTTTAGATGGAAACTGGAATGTCCTGAATGCAAAAAAAACAACCAACCAAAACTCCCCAAAAGCCCCCGAGCATTTAAGAATTCAAAGGAACTATTTTACAGGCAGTAGATGAAAAAGAACAACCTATCAAAAAGACCTTTCTTCATTTAAAACAGACACATTAAATGACAGTAGTATTCTTTATAGTTAGTGTTGTTACAAAGTTATCTATTCTGATCTTCCCACCTTTGGGATTCGTGCATCTTGGCCATTTCTGTCTCAGTTCTTATTCACGATGAAAGGGAAAAAAAAGAGTAGGAGAGGAACCTACATCTGCCAGTGGGTTTCTGCAATTGGTTTTCTCAACTTTAGCTCAACGAGCTCATTCCAACTGAAATGACAAAAGTAACTCTTAAAACTGCAAGCGTAA